TGAATAGAACTTAGTGAAACTGATAGGTTAAGTTATAAAAGATCGTGACTTCCACATTACACACACTCTCTGGTTTTCTAACTCTGATGAAGCAAGTTGCCATTGGCGAGATGCCCTGTCGAGTGGCCTATGTGGCAGGGCCTATGAGAGCAGCCTCCAGCCAACAGCCAGTAAGGAACTGAGGCCCTGAGTCCACCAGGCCCCAGGGAACTGAATTCTGCCAACAATTACCGGAGTGAGCTTGGACGTGGAGCCTTTCCTGTTTGAATCTTCAAATGAGACCACAGCCTCAGTGGACACTTTGATTTCAGCCTTGTGTAGGACCATGAGCCAGCAGCCTCCGCTAAGCCATGTCTAGAGGCCTGACTACAGAAAGTGCGAGGTAGTAAATACTGTTGTTTTAAGACATGAAATTTTGGAGTAATTTATTATGCAGCAATCAATAACTAATACAGTGCATAAAGATTTTGGTAGTGGTGATAGGGTGTTGATTTCTGAACCTGAAGAACAATACAAACAAGGAAGGGTAAGAAGTTAATGAGTACACACTGAATTCATACCACAGTTTTTTCCAGGGATGGTCCTTCCTGCAGGGGTTACTTCTTTTTCCTTTTCCTCACTTCCTCTAATCCCTGTCTTTCTTCCCTAAAAATAAACTGAAGAGTTATCAGGGTTCACTGCTAAACTTAGAAATTTCTTCTGTTAAATCTCCAAGATTATCAGTATCATCACCCCATATCTATCATGATCCTCTTTCCTGAAATTTATCACAGTTACCAGTAAGAGGGTAACTGTAACTAGTAGCTGCAATGCTTGTATTTTCCACATACACAAATTCTCCTCTACCCAGCAGCTACAGTCACTAGAACACAAAAATTAAAATGCTGGACATTGTAAGAATGTGGTGCAATTAGGGCTCTTATTCATTGCTAGTGGGAGTGCAAAACGGTGCAACCACTTTGGAAAGCACTATGGCAGTATCTTATAAAATTAAGCCTAAATCTGCTATGTGACTTAGTAATTGTGCTCCTAGGAAACTATCCAGGAGAAATAAAAACTTAGGTTCATGCAAAGGCCTACATTTAAAATTTATAGAAGTTTTACGCCTCATAGTCCAAAAACTCCAAATGCTCATCAACCAGTGACTGGATAAGCAAATTGTGGTGTATCCATACAATGGAATGTAACTCAGCAAAGAAAAGGAACAAACTGCTGACAAATGCAACATGAGGACCCTCAATAGCATCATGCTAGTGAGAGAAACCAGGTGTAAAACACTATACTCTGACTCCAATTATGCAAAATTCTAGAGAAGGCAAAACTAGAGTGATAGAGAATAGCTCAGTGATTTCCATGGGGCCAGACTTCAGGGGAGGAGATTGATTGCAAAAAGGATAGGGTAACATTTGGGTAGTGAAAACGTTCTATGTCAGTTGTGGTGGTTATGTGACTGTATGCATTTGTCAAGATTCATTGAACTTTCAACCTCTATGGAAAACAGTATGGAGATTTCTCAAAGAAATAAAAATAGAACTACTAGTCCACCTAGCAATGCTACAGCTGGGCATCTACCCAAAGGAAAAGAAATTGTTTTCTCAAAAGGACATCTGCATTCATATGTTTATCATAGCACTATTCACAATAGCAAAGTCATAGTATCAACCTAAGTGTCTATCAACAGTGGATTGGATTTAAAAAATGTAATACATACACACACACACCCCCCCCCATGGAATACTACGCAGCCATAAAAAGGAATAAAACATCTCCTTTGCAGCCACATGAATGCAGCTGGAGGCCATTATCCAAAATCAATTAATGCAGAAACAGAAAATCAAATGCCACATATTCTCACTTGTAAGTGAAAAGTAAACAAAGGGTACATTTGGATATAAAAATGGAAACAATAGATACTGATGACTCCAACAGAGAGAGAGGGATGGGGGCAAGGGTCAAAAAGTGACCTATTGGATACTATATTTACTATTTGGGTGATGGGTTCTATAGAAATCCAAACCCCAGCATTATGAAATATACCCATGTAACACACCTGCATGTGTACCCACTGAATCTATATTTTTTTAAAAAAGAGGGAATACATATACAAGCAAAAATAGACTATAAAAGCTGATTACAAAAAAGATTTATAACAAAATTACATAGATCTTGAAATTAAAATGTAGTAATTGAAATGAAGAAAAATTCATTGAACTTCGAGCGCATTTATTGTATATAAATGATGCATAAAAATTGTTTTAAAAACTCTAAACGGCCAATAGAATCAAAAATTGAAGTATTTCAGGTTATGTTTCTTGTCTTTACAATCATGGCACAATCATTGCTCATTTCAAATCTATCATTTAAATGCAAGAGTATATAGTACTACAGGGGCTAGAGACACATGAGCTGATACTGTGTGTACTGACAGCTGACCATATAGCAGGAAGTTCTCTGAATTACTTTCCATGTGGAGTAAAATGGTTATTGAAGAAAAGCCATACAAATGCGCTACTTTGAAGCTTACATATATGTATTATTTAAAACTCAACGGTAACCTCAGAAATTGTTTAGAACCTAGTCCAATAAAAGATTTTGGGGGATGAATATTTTATCACTGATATTACTTAGAATTGCTGGCTCATGGTGGTAATAAAAAATAGTTCAACTTGTAGTCAGCTTTATTATTGTTTTAAAATTCTTTCCAGTGTACCCTCTATTGCCTGCCCCTTGTGGGGTAGACTTGTTGTCTCACATCTGTCCTTGATATTCTACTGCTACTCCTCATCAACAATTGTGGGTTCCTGGGACCCTAGAACAATATCACAAAGCCAGAGGCCAGTCTGACTTGCAGAATCTTTGAAGGCCTCGTTATTATTCAAAGAGTGTTATTGATTGCCTACCGCAACCAGGGGCCATTCTAGGTGCTAGAAATTTCAGGTGAAACAGTCTCTGATCTCCAGGACTTAAGTTCTGATAATGTATATTGACATTGTGAGTTCTAGCAATAGCATTTTCTCTAACAGTTAAAAGTGGTAGCCTTTGCTAAAAGTTACAGGTTGTCCTCTCTTCCTTCCCCTTTGTTTATCTTTCTCGATGTCCTCCCAGGTACACCCCTTTCTCCCGGCACCATAACCAATTACATTTCTTTAAGTTTCAAGTAAGGTACTCAAGTGCAGGGGCACATTATCTTCTTAAAAGGGAGAACCAACAAATGGAAACTTTTTACCAACTTAAATCTCTTTGTCCTTCTTGTGGACCTGTGACATTCACCTGTCAATCTGCTCTTAAAAGCCTCTATCAGATGCAAGGTGCTTCTGAGATTTGTGATACAGGGATGCAGCTTAGAATTGTAAGTGGCCTCCTTGATATTCTGCATCACTAGGTAAGGCTTACACAGCAAATACCTATGCCCATCAAAAAATAGTCTAAGATAAAAGTGCAGGCAAGCAGATCAGAGGATATAAAAGGCCCATTGTGAAAACAATGGGAAGGTTAGTATAGGCCAAGTTAGGTCTCCCACCAACCTCTCTGCTTTATGAGGCTATCATGCAGCTCATCCCAGTCCCACTGAAGTCTTTTCTTCTTTTAAGTCTATGTAACAATTTCTAACTTAGAACTATAAAGATATTTAGAATACATGTCAGGGCCAGAATTTGCAGAGGTCAAGAAGCGTCTTTATGATTAAGTGAATGATCCCAGCAAGGTCAGTATTAGTTTCCTCAAGACTTCTTATCAGACTAGTGGGCCAACCACACTTCCCATTCCTCCCAAAGAAAAGTCAGACAGGAGCTCAGAAGTAGTGCTGGACCTCAATACTAGTTTTCAGAATCTCATGACAAATTTTATATGTTATATGTTCATGATTGCAAAGAGAAGATAATGATTTTTTTCTGATAATAATGCAGCATATTCCTTTCAGATCAATGTTAGCACATCTCTTGTCAATCAAGTTTATATTCCACCTCAACCAATTCCTTTCATAGGCATTAGCTGATTTGAATGGGGTGATGTATTTTAAAATGATGAGGAAGAAGCATTTTTTTTGTGTGTTTTGACTTTACTTGAGAACTGGTGACTGATTTTTAACACACACACAGGCCCACACACACATACACACATACATACACACACATACACAAAATCTCTGGTGATGAAAATAACCATTAAATATAACTAACGCAACACTATGCCATTTATATGATGAACTGACTCACTGCTATCTCACTTTTTGCTTAGTATAGTTTTGTGTACTTTGCTTAAAGCATTTGAGGCCACAGAAAGGTTGAACTTGAAATCAAGTCTTAAGGGCTATTTCACATTCTTTTAAGAGTGTTTCTTCAGCTGCCAGGGAAAGATGTGTGCATGAATTCTCTTATCCATGTCAAGACCAGTTACAACTGCGTAAAATCAATTCAGCTGTGGTAGACTGATAAGTGCACGTTTCAAGATGACACAAAGTGATCAAACCAGGTGAGAACTAAAAGAGCTTTGGGACCATATTAAATGCCATTGCATGATGGGGAAGAGGAGAGGAAGGAAATGTACAGGCCAGTTGTTGCTGGGATGATATAGTTTTGTAAACCCTCTATGATCTGTGTTAACCCCGTGTTGTTATGTATATTTTCAAAATGTATGCACGATAGTTTGCAAGAAATGGTCACCCAGTGACAGAGGACCTGGCTCCTTCTGGTCACTTGTCCCCTTTCACTGTTTTGAGGACTTCTCTGGGAGGTTCTAATTCAAAGGAAACTTTTACTTTGAAAGCTTTAAAAGTCCTTTTACTCTACGAATGTTATGTGGAAAGGCTTGCTTACTCTCGGCTCCATTGCTCTTAAACCTCTTGGTCTTGCTGGCAAAATTTTTATGAATCAGAGATTATTTTTAGGTCTGGGGTTTATATTAGAAATTATTCACTGTCATTCAACAAATATGCACTACGCACCCACTAGATACCAGGGATACATGGGCAAACTTCCTGTTTCCAAAAATGCTGCCAAGTCTCAGTTCCTGAGCATTTGGCCCCTTTTACTTTGGGCCCTAAGTAGAACCACAGATACAGGTAGTACTGATGGACATCTTCTTGTCATGGCTGAAGTTTTCCGTGAAATGGTTCTTTGAGGAGCTACCTCGGCTGAGGCTCTCTTGGTTGAATCTCTAAGCACAAGAGCATAAGACAAGGCTTCCCGTTGAGTAATATAGCGTAAGGGAAAGAAATGAGAGAAACTTCAAAATCAGCAATTTTACAAAGCAAATAAGAAAACAAAACTGCAAGCATTTACTTATGTGTACACAATCTTTTCTACTCTTGTGGTGAGCATGCCCAGATTATATGATCTTTGAAGACTGGAAGTGTATTTTTCTTCTTTTGCATTTCTCATTCAATAAGTTAATAAACACTGAGTCATTGATTAACATGTCAAATTATTTGGAAAGGGACTTGAGCCATGATATCTTCAATATCAAAACTTTCTTCAAACCGGAAAGATATGTTTGATCTCTCTCAGTGTTTCTCAACATGTAGTCTGCAGAACACCAACTGGTGAATCACTGGGCTGAGGCCACATGCTTTTTCAAAATGCTAATTAAAAATGCAGATTTATGACTCTATTCAAGACCTTCTGAATCAGGAACTCTGAGGGTTAAGCTTGGAAATCTGCATTTTGATAAGGTACCTGGTGGATTTTATATGCACTAAGCATTGAATACTTCCGCTTCTGGATTCATTGGCTTCTATGCAATTTTGCTATAAAAACAAAGCTACTAGATGATGCTTCTAGTGACACTTCAGACAATCATGTGGACCAGACTGAATCCCGGCTTCTCTGTTTACTATTCAAGAATTGCATGACCCTGGTCAAGCTATTTAACTTGTCCACGTTTTAGTTTTCTCTTCTGTAAACTGTAGGTCATAAAGACACCTGCCACGTAGAGGTGTTTGAGTGTTAAATACAATTCCTGCAAAGTTCTTAGACGAGCACCTGACACGTAGGAAGCCCTCAATAAAAGGTACCTATTGTTATTGTTTTTATTAAATCAATTGCACAAACCACACTTTCCGTTTGTGTAAATACAAAAACAACAGCATAAAGTAGATGTGCTAAAGCCAAGTGAGTAGATTTTTGTTTAAAAAGCACTCTAGTGGAGTTAGGAGAACAGTATGATGAAGGGCAGCCAGCAACTGAAAGCATTTCCTGCCAAGAAAAGGGACTTTACAACAATTATGCCTTTCGGTAAGTTGATGCTTACAATTTGTGAAGGTCTTTCACAACCATTATTTCATTTGTGCTTCATCAAATCTAAAGAGGTTGAAAGAAGAGGAGAGACAGCAGAGGATGGGGCTGAAAATGTATAAACTTCGGAGGTGACAGCTCTGGCTTGAAGTCCTAACCAACATTTATTACCTGTGTGTGATCTTGATCAAGTTACATAACCTGCCTGAGCTTCCATTTTCTATGCCATAAATTGGAGATAAAATGAGATATCGTATGTAAAGCTCTTGGCACAATGTCTGGAACGTGGTCAATGAGCAATAAATGTAACTATTATTGTCGTGAGTAAACCAAGCTTCTGAGTTTGCACACAGCAAGGAGCTGAGCTGCGCTTTGAGCCTCGCCTGGTTTTGTCAGCCCAGACCCACTGATTTACTTAAGTTCCCACAAATCTCAGAGAGTTGACATTTTATCACAATCCATACTTGAATTTCTTTAAACTCTATTAATTTACCCATAAAACCTTGCTTTCCATTGTCAAGAATAAGCACTTTGAAACTTGGTTAACCAACTACTATGTTGATAAAACAGCACGCCAGTAGATGCCATTGTACTTGAATTATTTATCTGGAAACTACTTCTGGCTACAGCACAAGTTGATTCCTTAGGTACTTAGTTTGGATCACGTAGTTAAACTTACCAAGCAGCTGTTGGTGCTGAAGGCTGTGAATGTAGCGGGTCTGCAGGGCCTCCCACTGGGGCCTGGAGTTGTAAATCCTCATAATGCTGTAAAAGTAGCGCTGTTGCCCTTGGTTGAGGTCCTGTCTGAACAGAACAGGTGATTTTGATGAGTCTGTGGAGTTCCACAGCATTCAAATTGCGATGTATTCAAGCTAACTTTTATGGAAATAAGAGGCTTCTCTTGCTAAACATATATATATTTTTTAATGTGCAACAATTGGAAAATAACAATTGGGGAGTTTCCTCTCTTCATTTGCTTAAACAGCCTTCTGCTAATCTGTATGATGATGAAAATATGTGAGTAAAAAAAGTCTAGGTAATTGTCTTGAGCTGAGGGACATCTAAGGATTTACAGGATCTTATAATTTCATTGATCCTTATTGAGGAAAGTAGGTTGTAATAAGCTACACAGAGCTGAAGTTTGCTAGGCCTCTGGACTGGTAGAAAATTTCCCACTGAAAGTTCTCAAAAGCAAGGGAAATAGATGGATGAATAATGTGGTAAGGGTTCATCGTATCATTAGTAAAAAGGTGCCATGAAAACAAAGAATGTAAACAAGCTCCCTAAACAGTCAAGGAAGATTTCCTAAACGAGGTGATCATCTTATCTGAATCTTAGATGAGGAGTTTCCTTAAGTGACTAGAATACTGGTTCTCAAATGGCATACACAACGCCTGGAAACCTGTTAGAAATTCTAACTTTTTTTTTTTTTTTTTTAGTTCAAAGGGAACATAGAGTCTGATTGTGAAAAGACTGTTAGGGGAAGATGATGGAAACCTTTTAGCTATGTTAAGAGTTTAAGGATTAACTATTCTATGAGGAGCCATCAAAGGTCTTTAAGGCAGTGACTCTCAACAGGAATGATTTTGACTCCCAGGGGACATTTGGCAATGACTGCGAAATGTTTTGATTGTCCTAATTGGTGAGAGGAGGAGGGGGTGCTCCTTACATTCAGTGAGTAGAGGCCTGGGATTTGCTCAGCATCCTGCAAAGCACAGGACAGCTTCCCACGCCTTTCCAACAAATGATCCAACCCAAAACACCATACTCTCAACTGACCAGGTTTGCATTTAAAAAAATGGCCCTGCAGTGGAGAATGGGCTCAAGGAAAGAGATCATTGGTAGAGAGACTATTTAGAAGGCTACTTTCTTAAAGGTAGAAAGAAATAAGAAAGGTCAAGACTTCAATTACTATTACATACCTAAGATATCTTAAGTGTTCATTATATACTGTGTTCAGCATTTTGCATTCGTATTTGCATGTATTTTGCATGCATAATCTCTTAATTTTCAACAATCTGAGGAGATGAACAATTTATTCTGTTCACTTTACAGATAGGGAAACAGATAGTGGCATCAACATTCTAGAAAAATCAAGATAAAATAAGTTCACCCTAGGCCAAAAAATTCAAAACAATAATAGAGCTTTCAAAATGAGTTAGTAACTATGCAATAAAAACTAAACTTCAGATAATTATATGTAAAGGTAGAGTAAGGTGACTTTTACCTGTTAGACATTTTGTGTGGGCCTGAAATTTGTGAGTTAGCGTTTTGTTTTGTTTTTATTTTTTTGGCCTTAAACTTAATATCGAAAATCTATCTGGAGTGAAAGTAGCAAAGCCAAGTGCTTCATAATTTCAGATACTATTTCAGCTTTAGTTTCTGAAGTAGATATTTTAAAGGATAATATATTTGAAGAGAATGAATTCCACTCCTGAATAACTAATTTTGCCTTTTAAAATGATTGAGAACAAGATAATATGAAAATTGGAAGCCAATTTCAAGAGCAGAACTCCAAAGTGCAATGGGAGTTTCCATAGAAGATAAAAATCTTAAAAGTGATGATTTTATTTTACAAAGCAAAAAATGCTTACTTCTTTTCCTTAGTAAAACCCTAAACTTCCTAAATGAGAAGTAGCAGGTAACATTACTAATATTCTTACCCTGTTGTTGATCCTTCCTTGAGGATTTAGGAGAGAACTGAAATTTTTACAGCCTATTTATTAGAATGGCTTTAACTAACTTTGACTAAAAGGAGCTCTTCAAAAGGCAGCCACAGTGTGGCCAATTAGTAAGTTTCCCATTGCTGACAGTGGGTCAGCCATGAAGAGGTGACCGTCTACCAGAGCTCCTGAAATGGGGCGGGTGTAGGAGGTTACCCAAGGGCTCATTAATTCACTCATGCATGGCCTTCAACATTCAGCAAGGGCTTATTTTGGGACAAATATTCTTCCTAATGCTAGGTAAACAAAGACAGCAGAAAAAGTCCTCAGACCCTGAAGGACAGACAGGTCACTCTATCTGTGAAAGAAAGAAAGAAAGAAAGAGAGAGAGAGAGAGAGAGAGAGGAGGGAGGCAGGCCATACCTTTAGTAAGGAAGTATCATAGATGGAGTGAGGAACTCGAATGAAAAGAAGCTGTGGAACATTCCAGAGCTTTTGTTGTCTTTTCCAGTTTTGTCCCATCGTTTATCCTGTACCTCCAAGAAACAACAAAGCATAGCATAAAATTTCTTTTAGCTCAACCAGTTTGGGGATATACTTAAGTAAATAAGTAAGCAAGTGAATGAATTTTTAAAAATGTAATTTGTTCTAAGGGATAGGAACATTTGCTCACATTTCCAAGTAATTGGACATCACCACACTACTTACTTCCACACCTTTTCTTAATCTTGCCCTTTATTTATGAAAATAATTATGAATTATTTATGAAGTTAAGGAATAATTCAGAGCCCTTGTCTTTCTGTTTAACTGTTTGGAACAGCTGGGTTGTAGAGCATACTATTTTTATAATAGTATTTTTTTGATAATTTTAAATACTATCAATGATCATATCTGATTCGAAAAGTAATATATATCGTTTTGGAAGATTTGGAAGAATTTAAACATTGAAGAAGAAAATAAGATTACTCATACAAGTTGAGCATCCCAAATCTAAAAGTCCAACATCTGAAATGCTCCAAATCCAAAACTTTTAGTGCCCACATGATGCTCAAAGGAAATACTCATTGGAGCATATTGGATTTTGGATTTTTGGATTTGGGAGGCTCAACTAGCAAAGATAATGCAAATTTTCCAGAATCAAAAAAAAAATATCTGGAATTCAAAACACTTCTGGTCCCAAGCATTTTGGATAAGGCATACTCAACTTGTATCTAATTATCTATAATTATTGTTAGTATTTGGTTGATTTCCTTTTACTTATTTATTTATATATATTTTGTGAGACAGAGTCTCACTGTATCACCCAGGCTGGAGCACAGTGGTGTAATTATAGCTCACTGCAGTCTTGAACTCCTGGGCTCAAGCCATCCTCCCGCCTCAGCCTCCTAAGTAGCTGGGACTACAGGTACACACCCCACACCCAGTTATTTTTTAAATTGTTACTAGAGATAATGTTTCCCAGACAATGTTCTCCCTATGTTCCCCAGGCTGGTCTCAAACTCCTGGGCTCAAGTTATCCTCCACCTCAGGCTCCCAAAGTGCTGGGATTACAGGTCTGAGGCACCACGTTGAGTTTCACTTTCCTCTTATTTATTTATTTTTTCTGTGTACATTGTGTGTAATTTTAGAAAAGGGAGATCATAATTTATATGTTTTGTGCACTTTCTCAGATCATTAAGTATTCCTTAAAAATATAATTTTTAATGGTAGTATAGTATGCCTTTACATCATTCTCCACTTCTTGCAAATTTAGATGTGCAATTTTATAGCATTGTACTATAAAATAAGCTATTAAACTTGTCATGTTTCCACTTGCCTGACAAAGACACAGAATAAAGGAGTCACATTTGCTATGATTAAGTCTCCTTTCCTGGTGATTTAGGGTTTAGAGTCTGAAGGGTGTATAATAATATGAATTTAACAATCCAGCAAGAGTAGACATGTTGGAATCAGTTGCCAAGTCACAAAGTGCAAACCCAGAGTATTTTCCCCTCTGCTTACTCCTTTGTCCTTGTTAGCAGTGTGAATTACTGAATGATAGAAAGTAAGACCACAGCAAATCAAGCATAGTAACAATCTGCTAAACATAGATTATTATCAATACCTGCACCATGTACTAACTGAAGAAAATAAACTATAATAGAGGCTGTATGGCCTTTAGAACTAGAAAGACTTGAATTTCTTTTCTTCTGTAAGCCTCAGCCCTCTCATCCTTATGACAGCAGTTACAATGCCTACCTCATTGGGTGTTTGATTCACTGAAATCGTGAGTATAGAATGCTCTCACTTTATGCCAGTTTCTTCTCTCTCTACCCAACCTTCATGCATGTTCAGACACACAAACACATACACACACATAGGTTCACAAACATACACATGCTTAAGGAGTATTGTAATACGTGTGGAGACTCATTTGAGTTCATATATCGAAGGTTCCATTCTTCCAGAAGAGAAATTTATTAGGAAAACATTAGTCAACATCTCTGTGTATACTGTTTCTGCTATATAAACGTATAAATTAAACTATACATATTTTAAATGTGTGCACTCTGGAAACCATACCAACCAAGATATACTCTTTTAATATTCTCTGTGATTGACGCTTATGCTCTATCTTGTACTCAAATGATTTCAATAACCCTCCTCCCATTTTCCAGATCTGTAGAACAGAGAATAAATATGCTTCAAGCTGAAAAGATTTCTTGTCTCCTCAAATAGCATAAGGAAATGACTGATGCTCTTTCTTATGGCAACAATTCATGTATGCTTTTCTGGGGCTACTGCTGAATAAATTTACCTATTCAAGTGGCCTATACCTGATACAATTTGATTAAAACACTCATGGAATTCAGAGAGAAAAACATCTACAAAATAATATATCTGAAATGAAAACACAGATTTGCCTAAAAAGAACTTACCCTATACTGTAGTTCCCCCACTTTTAAAAGCTGGCATTCATATTCAGCGTAGTTTTCTTATGCGAACTCTGTTCATATGGTGGTGGTGGTGGAAGTCTGTTGATAAGCTGATATCCAAGTAACATCGTGTGATGAAACAAAGAGCTGGGGAAATCTGGCTGCATGCCTTTCTTCACTTCTGTGTAACATTCAGCTACACAGGTTGATATTTTTTCTTCCAAATTTTGTGTCTAATCAAGTGTCATCTTCTAAATCTACCATATCTGTGTTCTATGCAGATATGGGGGAGTAACACGCATACACCCTGAGATCCTAAATATTAAAGGTCAAGAAATCCATCAGGGCAATGGGCCATGACATAAATATTTCCAAAATTTGGAGTCAGTAGTCCCCTTCCCCATTGCTCAGGATGATGAAGGAAGGATTCCTGAGTATAGAGGTATGGGCATGATTTTGACTGTGGTAACATATGAAATTATTCCATAGTTTAAGCTAAGTTCCTTTTCATTTTGTGGGGGAGTAAGATATTCTCCATATGTTATCTTAATTAGAGGCTACACATGGTGATAATGAACCTGTGGCATAAGAGCAGAGTCCACACTGACCTCATCCTTTCTTCTGTGACTGCATTATTCTACTGGCTTCCTTTATTTCTCAAGTGTCCTCCTTGTGAATGCCAGCTTATCTGCAAAGACGAAGAGTTCCTAGAGGAAAGGGAAGAAGAAATATCAAAAGAAAACACATTCAAAATTCTTAGGAGACTAAGGGGAAGAAAAAAGCAGGGAGATGAGAGTGATGAATCATATGCCTTAAAGAAGAAAGGGCTCAACAGATGCAAAAGTCTTGCATTTTTTCCCCAATAATTTGAATGCAGACCTCCCGGGAAATAAGCACAGCACAAACAAGTGTCTGTAAATGCCAGTGAATAACATAAAATCTTTCACTGGATCTGAGAGGTTGATGATTCTTTACCAAGAGATAAAGAACAGTCGTGTGCAGAGTTGACATTGTCAATCAAGTCTTCCTCAAATGTTGTTCCAGGATATGATGAAATTCATTCTGGGTGCACTGCATCTGCTGATGATGCACACACATGCTGAAATTCCTACCAGCTTGCATTGGACCCTACTCAATCAGGAGAACAGTAACAGATCTGGGTGTTTGACAGAGGGCATTTAATGTAAGGAATCTGTTATGAAAATATAGAAATGGGTTAGAGGAGTAAAACAAGGGGGGTTAGGTTGTCCAAGGATTGGCAATTGCACTAAACTATGATTGCATGTAGAGTTGGAGGACAAAAGGGAAAATGATTTTACCCACAGCCCATGGACACTGTGCCATAGAGGCTGCTCCCTTTGGAGAACTGCTCCCTGAGCAGCACCTGAGGAACCTGCACTCACCAGGCACCCTTGCTTCTATGCTCTTGCCCAAACTGCTAATCCTACTGTTGCTGTCACCACTGTTGCTGTCAGTACTGTTGCTGTCCATGTGGCTGCTGCTGTTGGCACTGCCATAGGTGCCAACTATGGCTTCTTCCCTCCAGGCTTCATGTCCTGCCCTCCATTGGATGCCAGCTGGCAAGGGGTTTTGGGAAATGTATTTTGCAGTCTTCCTACTACTCTGATAAAGAGAAGGGTATAGAAGAATCAACATGAGGCTGACAGATGGTGGACACTCTCTAACACAAACACAAATCTAAGAGGTACCTTTGGGACCTATGAAGTCAGGCAGGAGACTGAAGGACTTAGACATACAGTCAGTGTTTACCTAACATCACTGAAAGTTGTCATTTTATAAGAAAAGAGGAAATAAGATAAAACTAGCTATGTAGATGGTATCAAATAATGAGATATAAATTTGTAGACATATTTTAAAATTTAAGAATGAGGAAGTAATGTATATCCTAAGTTTGGGACAAAAAATGTTTTCCCAAAGAGAAGTTTAACATTTCAAAAAGAATTTAAACTGATTACAAAAAAAGGAATAGAAACACCCATAATCTAATTACTATAGGGAATATGATGTCAACTATTAGTAGAAAAGATGTACTATTTCACAGTTAAAATATTGGTACAGCAATGAGACTCACTGCTTAAGACATTGGCTATTTAGAAGGTGGGTGATAAAGTGTTTTCATGGAATACCAGGGTAAATGTGACCTCATGGGTGATACCAAGTGAGGAAGAGGAACGCCTGATTGGAATCCAAGATGAAGTTAAACTCTAATTCAAAGAAACCCACCTGCTAGAGGGAGAATGTCACTGTACATCATGGAGGTACACACTTTCCTGAAAAACTATGAACCCAGAAGTAAATGCTCTGCTCACATCCTTTTGCCAGGATCTTCTTAGCCGCAGAGATGCCCGTGAGGATGTCTCTGCTAGGCACTGACAAGCTCCCTTGACTACCCAAGCCCTCAAAGGACCTCCATGCTCCTTAAGGAAGAGAAGGCAGTGTCCCTCTCCCAACTCTACTGCTGTTTATCCCCTGGACTCTACTTAGTCTTCTAGAGTCTTGGTTGAATTTCATTTCCCATTGAGCTATGTAGTCCCTTGAACTTAAACTTTTTTGGTGGGGGAGGGGGAGTTAGTTATTCCTTATTAT